CTTGGTGGTCCCCTCCTCCTTCTCCCCCTGCCATAGCCTCCGTAGTTCCCTAGGGTTGAGAGGGTTTCCTGTTTTCCTCTCCTCCCTCTTTCTCCAGGGAGGACCTGGACCAGGAGGAGAAGGCCAAGTTTGGAGAATACTGCAGCAGCGAGAGCGGGAAGGGCCGCGAGTGGTTTGCTCGCTACGTGAGCGCCCAGGTGAGGCTGGTGGCGGAGCCGGGAGCGGCCTCCTGGGGAAGAATCCGTGACACACGACGGACTCCCCATGTCCTTCATTTGTCCTGGGGTTCCTCTGGGAGAGAAGGCTCGAGGGAAATGGCCCCCCTGAGTAAAGGGAGGTGGAAGAGCTGCTTAGGAGGTGGGACGAGCAGCCTCCATCCCGCCTGCCGTCAGCCTCACGGAGGCCCAGAGCAGCTTCTTCAGTTCCCCAGAGGGCACGCGCGCTCACCCGGGGAGAGAGGGAGAGGAGAAGCGAGGAAGCACCCCGCCCAGGGCCATGGTCACGGCGCAAGCCCCTCTCCTCCGTCTCTCCCTCTGCTCGGAATCTTGGGTGTGTGCACACATAACCTACCTGGCGTGTTTCCTGAACTGTCGGGCCCGGCACTCGAACTACGCCGCCAGCCATGTGGGATTCAGTTGCCTTCACGGCATCACTAGCTGGCCTCAGAAAAGTTTGTTTTCTAAAGGAAATCATGGCGTGAGACTTGCAGATGGCATAATTGTTACATCGCTGGACTCCCACGTAGTTGACTGCAGTTCGAGTCCTGGACCCGGTGGCTTAAAACTCACACCGGGCACGTGTGCGTGTGTACCCAAATCCCGAGAGGAGAACAGAGGAGAAGGGATTGGGGCATGGCATCCCCCCGGGGAGTGGTTTCTTGCTCTCTGTCTCTCTGGCAAGCACATGCAGCCTACAGCGAAATCCTCTTAAAAAAAAAAAGGCCGGCACTGGGCTATGTTCATGCATCAGCTTCCAGCATGTCCTTCTCATGTAGAGTAGCTTGTTCTTAGGTTTTCTTTGGGGGGGGGTGGGGGGAGGTTTTCGCTATAGGGCTAGTGCACTCGCCAAAAAGACACAGAGAGACAGAGACAGAAAGCGAGAAATCACCCCCCAGGGGAATGGCCACGCTGCAATCCCTTCTCCTCCATTCTCCTCTCGGGATCTTGGGCACGCATGCACACGTGCGCAGTGTGAGTTTAAGCCACCAGGTCTGGGATTTGAATCTCGGTCGACTACACGGGAGCCCAGCAACATAGCCATTACGCCAACTGCTGATCCTGCTTGTTCTTAGTTTTTAACTGACTTGTCATAAACGACTTATTCTTCATAGACTATTAGGGACTGCTGGGCTAACCCTGTAGCTTGGCAGTCACGGGTCAGGTCCCACACGCCTGGCATGTCTGTGTGCCCAAATCCCAACAGATAGAGAGACGGAGGAAGAGGAACAGTGGCATGACCACATCCCACTGGGAGGGGCGCGCTCTCGCTCTCGCTCTCTCTGGTGAATGCACATGCCCTCTGGCAATAAAAACAACAGAAAAGAGAAGAATGGAGAAAAATGCAGATAAGCAAAAGGAGAAGCTCATTACCCGTTACCTATTCATCTATAGCCCTGAAATATCAACAGTTGGTATTTCATTTTAGGGGTTAATCCTTCAGTACTTCTCTGTGTGTGCATATGTGGGGTGCCCGCTTTTTAAAGTCTGGGGGGACCAGCAGATGGTGCAATGGTTACGTCTCTGGACTCCCACATGGCCGACTACCATTTGAGTCCAGACCCGGTGGCTTAAAACTCATGCTGGGTGTGTGTGCATGGGTGCCCCAAATCCCAAGAGGCGAGTGGAGGAGAAGGGATTGTGGTGTGGCCTGGGGTGGCTTCTCACTGTGTCTCTTTGCTATTTTTTTTTTTTTTGGAGAGATTTTCACTATAGGGCGCGTGCACTCGCCAGACAGAAAGAGAGAGACATAGAGACAGAAAGCGAGAAATCACCCCCCCAGGGGGGATGGTCACGCC